ATATCAAAGTCGGGTACGTATACAACGCTGCGTCATCTAGCGCTCCCAAGATACTGAGCCACTGTGGGCAGTTCTACTGCGGCACTTGGGTGAATGTAATGGAGCTTGATGTTTCGAGTAATGGGGTCGATGCGGAGCTCTACTTCGTAGTTGATGAATTGGGATGTGGAGAGTACATTGAAGAGCAGGTTCTGCACAATGAGAACATCATTGAGAGTGAAGTGCATCCTGCTATCCTGCGATTTAAATACCAGTATCCCATACGTGTTGGCCTGCTTCTGCTCACTGGCCATGATGATATAGGTGGTCTTTAGCGTGGCGATAGTGTTGGAGATGAAATGGCAAGAGCCGACCATGTGTTGATCGCAGTAGCAGTCCAGGTACTAGGTATTGTAGTTCCTGTCACCATCGCGAGCAATGATCATGAGGTTGGGAGTCAGCACGAATGGGCGGTTGGAGGGATCCATGAAGTGATCGTGATCGAAATCGTCAACATCCTCCCAGACTGATGCATTGCTTGAATCGGCGCGATGTGGCGGGGATTCGAGCAGAGGAATCCGCATGTTCCAGTCCTAGTCGTTTTTTTTTTCGTAGTCGTAGTCGCCATCAAGGGTGTTGGGGTTGTTGTCTTCTACAGAGAGGACTTCATCCCACGGCTTCTCACGTGGAGGAGACTGCGGGCAGGGCTGACAGTTGGCGCGCCGAGTTAGCACGAAAATGTGCATTGCCATGAAGTCCATGACTTGGTGTGCTCCTCAGGATTCAGGATTGGACCTCGGTTGGCAGGAATTCAACATTGTAGGCAGACATGGGACAGGTTGTTGGTCTGCTTAGGACGGGCGGCCAGTCTAGAGCTCTTTCTGATAGGGGAAGTCCACGGGGCTCTTTCGGTAGGTCGTTGTCCACGAGGCTCCCTTCATGAGAGGGGGCGGTTGGAGGTCTGGCGATGCTACTGGCTCACTTGATGCAGTGCTCCAGAGAGTGTCCGAAGGTCTTGCAGACCTTGCAGCAGAAGTTGCGACTTCGTTGGTCGCCCTCTGTCCTTTGTAGAAGGCCAGTTTGTCCTTGCACAAGATCCTATCTTTGTAGAGGTCTATGTCCTACTCCTATGCCAGCAGAGTTGCGCATAGAGTAGCTTCGGAGATCGCTCCCTGTTGTTGTAACAAGGCCTTCCAGGGGGCCATTCGGGTCCGAGACCAGCGAGAACTATTCAGTGATACTGTTTCCATGCTTCACGATTTCATCACGGATGCTCCGGCATCGATTGATGTAAGTATTGACCTTTTCTTTGAGGATCATCTTCATTCGGCTGGTACAGGTTGTTTAGGTACACCCAGTACTCTCGTGCCGGAGCGGCACGCGTTTTACAGGAACGGATATGTGAAGACACGTTACGCAATAGGACGCCGTAGACCATCAGTGATTCGTTGTAGAACTAAGAATTAGACTCTTATTTGCCGATAAGTGCTTCCGTATAAGGACCGTCAAATTAGCAGAAGATTGGAGGGCTTTGAAGAAGTAACTTGAGCTTGAAACTTCATACGTAAAAGTCGTGGCGTCGAAAATCGTGTTTGTACGTATCTTCAAAACGATGAGAAACTTTGATTGTGCTGACATCATAGCTTTATCACCTAGCCGTGTGCTTGCAGGAGGTTGAGTATTGTTAGTATCGAAGAAGTAGTGTCCTTGTGTGCTCTTCTTGTCCGAAGAATTCGGTTGGGAGAATTGGCAAGCAGTTCTCGAACCAGGCCCCCAAATTGGTTTTGGGCTTGTTCGATTCATCACAATTGCCTGTCATCTCTTGGTATGGCCTTCAGAGTCGCCCCTTAAAAGAAGGTCTGAAAAATCAGAGTAACAAGAGATTTTTTATCTGATTAATCAGAGTTACCATTGTTTTTAACTCATATTTCAAAGTTAGTGTTTTGCACATTACTTCTCCCTTCCCTTTCCAACCGCTGCCCTCAGACTTCTCCCTTGAGGGGCATTCTCCTCTTGTGTGCACTAGCTATCTGTGTTCTGGCGACAGCACAGAATTTCACGCCATACTAGACCCGGCCCCGCGCCAGCGCAAGTGTAATTGATCAGCAAGGCTGATGGCGAGGCTGTATTGTACTGGACAGCGCTCTCGCCAGGCCTGACAAAAGATTTTTACTTTTTTCTAATCTCCCAGACAGACTGAACTACGAATTTCAAAATTTTCAGATGAGTCTTTCAAAAGTTTCTTATCCCTCCCCCTCCCTGTTCCGCGTTTAGTAATTTCGCGTACCTGAGGTACGGCTTCGAAATCGGTTGGTGGAGATACGAAATTGGTTGCGTGTGGGGGACGAAATCGAGGGATGGGGCAGAACGGAAAGGAATAAGAGGGCAGGCAAATCAAAATTGCAGGGGAGGTAGGGAAATCAAGGCCATCCAGGTGGCTATTTTGTGAAGGGCCAATGGGCGCCCTCGCACACACAGCCCGCAGCACACCTCGGCAAATTTTTTGAAGGGCCAATCGGCCCCTCACATCGCACGCATCACAAACTGGGAGGTGAAGGGCGAGTCGGCTCCCTCACATAGCCCCTAGTACGCATCGGCCTTCGATTTTGGAGAAGGCCAATAACCGCCCTCACAAAGCCCCGAGCAAGCATTCCGCCCTGATTTTGGCTAAGGGCCAATCAGCACACCCCACTGGTAAATCACGCCCTCCCCACCCCCAATCACAGTTTTACACGAATAAGAGTCAATCCCCCATACATAGATGAGGCATCAGAGTACACTGGTGAAAAAAGTCTGAAAAAATAGCTTAGGTACATAAATCTTCTCTGAAAATCAGAGTAAGGTAGAAAAAAGGTCTTCCCGATCAGAGTACACCCCCAAAAAAAGTCTGGAAAGAGTCTGAATCATAGTAAAAAGTCTGCAATTTGGGGGCCTGTCTCGAACCGTCAAATTTAAGTCCATTTTCCAATGTTGTCATTTATTGGAGCAATTGTTTGAGGTGCGCTATGTTGTCGATCATTATTGCCGCCAAAATTGAAGCTTGGTTGGAGGGGGGTTTGATAGGAGGAATTCCTTCTCCTCGTGAACCCAAGCCTCTAGCCATCCTTTGGTGTGGGCACGGCCCAGTCGCCATCGTGCTTGATGTGAATTTTATCATGGGTGGTGATGCATACAATCATAAGTAGCTCTCATACCATGATGCGATGATATAGGTCCGATACAATCTTCAGAAATTGAATACTCAGAGAGCGTTGGTAGTGTAAGCGTTGTGATTGGTTGTTGACTTGGTCAGGGTGAATATAAAATAACGAGAAATAAAACCAATGAGTTGTAGGGTTTGGATAGTGGTACAATGGAAGATGAAGAGTTATGGCTCGCCCTGTATTCTGAAGGGGTACACTTTCTTTAGGGCTACGATCCAGTAACCAAACATGACTTGGGAAACTGTCCATGCTGTAATAACAGGTTCAGCTAGGTGTCCTTGCTGTCGTGTAGGTCCAACTGGTCGGTCGACTCTTGGACTTCGACTGATTGTTGGGTTGCTACTCAAGGGCAAAGACCATTGCACTTTGCAACTAACTTAGGCGCATACCCGATAGAGGATATACCGCGCTAGAAGGTGTTACTGTACGTTTAGGAATGCTAAGGCATTTCCCTACCGTAACGGTCAAGCATATGTGAAGCATTGATTGGGCCGATAAAATGGATACGAATAGAATATTAAAAGATACAAAAATAAACTTCAGAAGTCGTGTACATGTCATATTTGAACAGAGCAAGCTCTAAGATTATTGGAATTTGCTCTGTTCGAGGGGGGGTGTGCGACGTAGGCGTTTTTTCACATAGTGTGTTGCGGCGCTGTTTGCAGTGTACTCTACATGGTCGGTGCCCTTGTCGTATGCTGCGACGGGAAGTCGCAGGCATTCTCACACATGTTTGTGTGACGCTACATGGGTGGGTTGCAAACCCCAGAACGGAAACCACTCAACACATCAGAAACAAGAAACACCAGGTATTTGCAAAAGTATGTACAGCTGTAATTGGTCGATATCCTATCGCTAGAGTCGCGAAGCACATTGAAATGTCAAAATTGGTTTGAGGAATGCAGAACATTGACTTGACTTAGGGACTATTTCTAAAATGAAGCCTCATAGGACCTCACATCTGAATCATGCGGTTACGCGCACTGCACATAATTTCTGTCTGAACTCGATGCGGTGCCAATAGGTTCGTCACGATTCTGGCACGAGGTCGAGTCCGACGCGAGCTATCGAACAGGCTGCGTGTCACAATGCCCCTCTGAGCAATGCTTCGTCAAATTTCAGGTTAGGGGGGTGTGCAGATTCGCGTGTGGTTCCAGCTTCGGCTCCGAGCCTGTCTATTTTGGAAACAACAAATGGAATTAGCTGTCTTCCTTCGATTGGTTCCTGGTTTAGTCAGCGTCAATATGTGGATCAATTTGCATCAATGGTTGCGAAAGGGGGGCATGAGTGGGTTGTGGGCATGAGATGCGGTCTTCACCATATTGTATACGCTTATACGATTGATGAAACACCGTACATGCTGCGTACTTGGGAGTTGCTCTTATCAAATAGTTGCCCGGTGCGAATGTTTGCCTCAGGGGTCGTTGCACTAGTCGAGGTTGACATGTATCGTAAGTGGTGCTGCAATAAATGCGTTGCTACTGAAATGAATTGCCCTAAGGTGTAAGGAATTTCCATTCCTTACTGAGTCGTACGCTAGCACGTACACCCGAACTCCTCGACTCGTCACATTCGGCCTCATTTGTCGGCCCAGCCCTTTCCCACGCCGCGTCCGGCACTGTCGCCACATTGTCGAACCTACCCATGTTCCAAGGTTATCGCCCTAGCACGCCAACCCCTATATAACCTCGTGCCTTTATTGCAATAGCGACCTTGTATTCTCACGCTATATTTCATTGACACTTCCTATATCATAATAGTTGGTATCAGAGCCCGACCTTTCTAGGAACCTTCCGTTTTCCCGTTCACTTAGTTAAGGGTGGCCAGAGGGGACTAGCACGGTTGCACAGCAGTTGTCTTGGATCGTAAATATCTTTACGTCAACAACTACAGCGTGTGCGCTAGCTCCTGCCCCATCCTGACTGCCATGGCCCCGGTAGACTCGACAGTTGAGAGACAGTCCACCTCGACTACTGCGAACCCTGCCTGGGAATCTGTGGACATGCAAACATTAATGGTTGAATAATTTGACAAGCGTCGTCAACAATCTCCACAACGAGAACAAGCAACTTCGCCAGGCGCAGGAGAGGCGTCCAGAGGAGCCGGGCGACGATGCACAAAGCGAGGCGGGTGAGCAGCAACCGTCGCCAGTGGAGCTGGCACGACTAGCAGCAACAGTCCCGCACTCGACAAGTGGCGGCGTAACATATCAGCAACCCGCTCCTTTCGACCCAGCTAATAAAGGCGTGACAATGCGGTAGTGGATATTCGCCATGAATAACTATTTTAATGCGGCGGGCATCAAAGACGATCAGAAGCAGATCAGCTACGCGTTAACACTGTTGCAAGGGCCTGCCCTACAGTGGTGGAAGGTCATCGTCGACTCAGCAGCACCTCGCACAAAAGGATAGCACGAGTGGTCCGAAGAATTCGGCGACACATACCAGGCAGATCTGTTGTTCAGAGCGATCCATATTCACACATGGGCAACGTGGATGTGGATGCGCACGAGCTTTGCAAGCGATTTGAGCATGCTCCTGACTCAGACAAGGCACGCGAAACTCTACGCATGTGGAAGTAGCTGGGATCTGTGTACGAGTACACCGCATCATTCCTGACGTTGGTGGACATATGTGGCTACATGCACGAGTTGGAGAAGGTCGACAGGTACACGGGCGGCTTGAAGCCTAAAATACAGTACCAGATAAAGCTGCAACGCCCTGCAAAGCGGTTACAAGACTACATCCAGCTCGCCGAAGCCGCGGATTCAATCATGAAGCCGAGGACGAACTTCTACGACGGAGGTCGCCTTCGAGAACAGTTTCAGCGCGCCACGATAAAAGGGGTGGATGCAACGGATATGTACACAGTTGCTCCGCAAAATACAGGGCTATGCTATTGTGGCCGGCCGGGTCACATCCGACGCAACTGACAAGAATTCATAGCCCTCTTGAATTCTATTGGGAAGAAGCTGGAGGAGCGACCGGGAAATGGGTCGCGTCAGTAAGTACCGGGCCCCTTACTGACGGGCAGGCTTCTTCGCCCGAGCCACATTGCCACACAGTCCCCATCGTGATCTCGATTGCTGCAATCGACTGGACCCCGACGAATAAGGGGGATGAAACCGCTGACAACCCTGTGTTGGTGGAGGGTAAAGTCAACGGGGTGTTATTGAAGATTTTCGTTGACGGAGGCGCGAGTCACAGCCTCATACAACTGGACAGGGCTAAGAAATTGGGTATACCCTTACTCAAGCGTCTACCTGAAATCGACGCCCGACTGGTGGAAAGAACACTGCTAGCAATACGGGAAAGAATGGAGAACGTTGGTTTTACCTGTGGGAAGCATGTAAAATTTCGATGGATGCGACGTGCTGCTGGGACATGATTGGTTGCGACGGTACAACCCGAAGATTGACTGGACGACGGGCGGTTGCAGCAATAAACTCGATGGAATTTCCTGAGAGCTGCCCAAGTGGACGGGGCCTCGCATGCAAAGCACCCAAGTCCATGCGATCACTTTCAAGTGCTCGATGAAAGCTGGAGCTGCAACGTACGCTGTTGATCTTCACGAGGTGACATCGACGGTTGAGACCGAAGATATCGAGAAATCGTGTGAGGCCATCCCTTCGGACTTAGCGGACTTGATTCGGAAATACCCAGAGATCTTCCCTGACGATCTGCCAGCTGGACTCCTGCCGAGCCGACTTGAAGACCACCGCATCGAACTGGAACCCGGCGCCCAACCAACGGTATAGCGCCAGTTTCGGCTCAGCCAACCAGAACTCGAAGAATTACAGCAGCTGCTGGATTACCTTCTGACGAAAGGTATTATTCGGCCCAGCACGTCCCCATATGCCACCCCGATACTGTTCACGCCGAAGAAGGGTGGAGGACTTAGAATGTGTATCGACTACCGTGCGCTCAACCGAATCACCATCAAGTCGCGTTACCCGATCCCGCGAGCCGACGAACTTCTCGACCAACTTCGCGGCGCCAAGTTTTTCTCAAAAATTGACTTGCGAGGAGGTAACCATCAGATTTGCGTCGCCACCGAAGATTGTCACAAGACGGCATTTCGAAGCCGCTATGGCAGCTACGAGTAATTGGTGATGCCTTTTGGCCTCACGAACGTGCCCTCGACCTTCCAAATTACCATGAATGGAATTTTCAGGGAACTCTTGGACAAATGCATCATCATCTACCTCAACGCGATACTAATCTACAGCCGCAGCAGGGAGCAGCACTTATAGGATTTTGATGCAGCCTTCACGCTGCTGCACAAGAATCGCCTCATCACCAAAGGGTCTAAGTGCGACTTTCTTAAGCAGTAGTTGGAGTTTCTGGGCCACATCGTCTCTAGTGAAAATCGACCCCAAGAAAATCAAGACCATACAGGAATGAAAGCCGCCAACCAACATCAAGGAGCTGCAGAGTTTTTTGGGTTTTGTCAATTACGTCCGCAGGTTTATACCCAATATGGCTGGGTTATCTGGCCCGCTAACTGACCGACTAAAGGATCACGATTGTTTTTGGTAGGGAGAGAAGCAGCAAGCTGCATTTGACCAACTGAAGATCGCGCTCACGTCGCCGTGCGTCCTTCGCATCGCCGATCCTGACCATCCATATGAAGTCATCACCGACGCTAGCAATATCGCCATTGGGGCAGTTCTTCTACAAGATTTTGGCAAAGAATTACAGCTTGTCGCCTATGAATCCCGGAAGCTGCAAGGCTCAGAGAAAAATTACATGGTACACGACAAGGAACTGTTGGCGATCATCCACGCGTTCAAAACCTGGCGGTGCTACCTGACCGGTGCTGATGTCACTGTGCGAACCGACCACAAATCCCTCCAGTACCTGCGAGCCCAGCTGAATCTCAACCCGCGACAAATCGGATGGCTCGATTTCCCCAAGTCAAACTTTCACTACACCATCACATACAAATGAGGCGCCAACAACATTGCTGATACCCTGACCCGACTCATTGCCCATACAACCACCATACTAGTCGCCCAGACCAGCCCACTCCTTACCGGACTATTTACCCATGGCTAAAAGATCGACCCCTTCTTTCGCTCAGCCATTCACCAACAGCATACTACCGCTACCGAACACTACTTTAATAAGCGCGACACTTCACGCATCTGGGTTCCCGGATACAATTTACTTCGTACCCTTTTAATCCAGGAATCCCACGACAACCCTACCTCCGGGCACTTCGGAGTCGACAAACCATGAAGACGTTGCAGCGCAATTATTACTGGCCGAACATGGCCGACGACGTGCGCAAATACGTGTCCTCCTGCAACGCCTGCCAGATCATGAAATCATCCCATCAGCGAGCAGCCGCACTCTTACAGCCGTTGGATCCGCCCGAGAGACCCTGGCAACACGTCACAATGGACTACGTAACAGGACTGCCGGCCGGTCCCAGCGGAAACGACGCCATCCTCGTGGTCGTTGACCGACTCACGAAAATGGAGCACTTCATTGCCTGCCAACATAAAATTACAGCTGAGCAAACTGCTCAACTGTTCATCGCCAACGTCATCAGACTGCACAGACTGCCCACCGCCATTATTTCAGACCGAGACCCGAAATTCACATCGAATTTCTGGCGCCACCTGTGGGACCAATTCGGCACCAAACTACAGCTTTCCTCAGCCTACCACCCACAGATTGACGGGCAGACCGAACGGGTCAACCAAACTATGGAGCAACTCATTCGGACTACCTGCACTGACCCACAGACATGGGAGAAATCCCTTCCGCTACTGGAATTCGCGTATTATAATGCGCCTTCCGCCACAACTCATCAATCCCCATCTTTCGTCAATTACGGATAGGACCCAGTTGTACCCTCTACACCAAACATCGAGACACCCGTGCCCCAGTCCCAGAGATTTGCCGAAGACATCCTCGTAGCCCGAGAAAAAGCAGCTGAGGCAATCCGGAAAGCCAAGCTGGTCTCAAGCTGACAAGCCGATCGTCGTCGACGTGACGTCACTTACAAAGTGGGAGATCTCGTACTATTCGGCATTCGCAATTTGCGTCTGCCGATCCCGAGCAAACTCCGACCCCGATTTTGTGACCCTTTTCAAGTGACCAATATGGTGACACCTGTCACCGCTTACCAGGGCCTCAGATATCATGATGATTTATCATGAATTCCTGATTTTCAGGATGCCTGTTAGGTGCCTGTTAGGATGTTTTAATTTGAAAAATATGTTTAAGTTCATTTTTCACCCTTTGACTTCAGTTTTTAATCATATTGCAATCCTGAGGATTTAGTAAAGTGTTCGTGTACCAGCCCTGATCTGTCAGTATGCCTTCAGGGATAACCCTGATTTCTCGAATCTTGAATGCACGTGCGCCACTAGGGTAGCCCTTGCCTCGGATCTTACATTTCGGTTAAGTCCTCAAAGTTAGCAACAATCCTCCGAAACCCCCCGCTTCTCCAAAAATTGACCGAGTCCTGAAAGTTAGAGACAATCCTCGGAAACCCCCCCGCTGCTCTAAAATTTCGGCGAAGTCCTGAATGCTAGAGACAATCCTCCAAAAAGTCTCCGCTAATATGAAATTTTATTGAAGTCCTCAATGCTAGAGAGAATCCTCCCCCCGCCCCACCCCCCATCCACTAAAAATTTTCGGTTAAGTTCTCCCTGCCCGGGACATACTTCTACAACTTCTATGCAGCCTTGAAATTCCGGCTTAGTCCTCATAGAATTCGTGATGCCCAGGTTACGTCGAATCAGAATCTCGTCAAGTACTGCAACTCAGGGATTACTCCTCATTTTTGGCATAATATTTAGAGGCTAGATTTTATAAGTTTTTCCACGGTCAAGATTTCACTGGCGGAAAGTATTGCCCGTATAATTGCCTTAAACATTTCTCGTACTGGTTTGGTGCCTTCTTTGTTTAGTTACGAATCAAATTTCAGGGTTGGATGTAAAGTAGTACTGTACTGTATGTGACGGATGTTGGTTTCAGTTTTACAGGGGTGGATTTTTTACCGAGGACGAGATTTCGTTCGCGTGAGTGTATCCGGACGGTTTAAGCCAAGCAGCGTAGCAGATCTATTTCCTAACCTCGCTATTTCTTCTTACTTGCCCTCGCGACTATCGAGTAGTCAGGAGATAGGCCAGGACCGCTGCGACGATTAGGCCGTCATGAAACCGTTAGATGAGGCGCTCTACGCATAGATCATTCCCTTGTTGCGGAGGGGGTACAGCAATCGTTGAATCGCTAAACAGCTAGGCATAGGGAAGAGTTCGGTCCATCAAGGCAATTGTAGAGTCTAGCCGCGATGACGTGCGTCCTACGATGCCCTCAGCCGGTCGCCCTCGCTTAGTGACAGAGAGAGTTCGCCGCGGCATAGTTCGGTCGATTACCAGCGAGGAGGCAGAAATCTCCGCTCACGTGACGAAAATCGTTGAGAAGCAGCACGGCATCACGTTGCATCCTAAGACATTGCGTAACGCTTTGAATGGGAGCGGACTTGTCGCAATCAAGCATCCCAAGAAGCCGCGACACTCTCGGAAAAACATATGCCATAGGCTGGAATGGGCCCGTGCCCACGCAGACTGGACGGTTGACGACTAGAAGCGAGTGATCTGTTCGGATGAGACCAAGATCGGTCGCCTTGCATCCGACGGACTCACATATGCCTGCGTTCACAAAGGGACTGCCCTCTAAAGACACCAAATCAAGCAGACCGTCAAACACGGGGGCGGTTGCTTGATGATTTACGACTGCATGTCGTAAAAGGGAGCGGGTTTCATGAGCAAAACATATGGTAGGATGGACGGACTGCTCTCGCTGAGTATACTGCAGGACGATCTCAACAGTACGATTGAGCTTTACCAGCTTACACCCTCGGAAACTATCTTCCAGCACGACAACGACCCGAAGCACAAGTCGCGTATCGTACAGGAGTGGCTTAGAGAGCAAGATTTTGGGGTGCTAGAATGGCCGTCTTCCTCACCCGACCTCAACCCAATGGAGCATTTATGGGCTCATCTCAAGAGGCAGCTGGCCAAGCCTTATAAGCCTCCCACTGGTATGCTGGACCTTTGGGAGCGGGTGCAGGAGGAATGGGAGAAGATCCCGGCGGATGTGTGCACCCACCTGGTGGAAAGCATGCCCAGGAGGGTGAGGGCGGTGATTAAGGCGAAAGGGCGGTGGATTAGGTACTAGTTTGGGGTTGATGTAACTTGCTGCTTGCGCCTGGCAATAATTGTCCACATGTACCAAGATTGTTATTTTCTGGTATTTGTTGTAAACATCATTATACTTGTGTGATGTAAGGCATGGGCGTAGAGCCTTACCCCAACCTACATACACTAGGCACACCAGAAGATTAAGGCTTAATGTCCATGACCCCCTAAAATGGCAAAATTCCTCTAAGTCACAAATATGTGGACAATACTTTCCGTCAGTGTACCAGAAACAAATTTAGATGATCCTGCACGTTGAATTAGGAAGCAGAAGAACTTGCCATAGAGTGTGCCACATGTGAGGAATGCGCCCTCACCACCCAATTTCGTCAAACTGGTCGTCATAACCGCTCGATGGAAATCCCACTGCAGTTTTTCATGCAACTTTTCGTTTCTTCCCTTCGACTTCATCGGAATTTTCAGGGGCTGCATTAATTTCCAACTGAACGCCCATTCGTTCTCAGCAAAATTCGGTCTGACAGTCAGACGAAGAAAATTTTCCTGGTCTGATTGCCTCGTGCGCTACAGTTTACACAAACTCGGCCAGTCATGGCTAAGTCCTCAGTATTAAACAGTGAAATTGATAATTGAGAGGAAGAGAGTACACAAACATATACCTAACAGTTGTACTCTCTAGAAGATGACCCTATACAGTCTATACAAGCATGATAACTAAACATGTTTGACACACCCCCTGGACTGCATAGGGGAATGTTCTAGACAAGCAGCTCAGGGTGGCACTACTAGTCCAGCCTCTGAGACAAGGGTCTAAAAGACCAGTCAGAAGGAGTACAGGCAAGGCAAGAACTAGTACAGGGCGGCACTACTAGTCCAACCACTGTAAGAGGACACAAGTCCAGTCTGAGTGTACACACAGATATATATAGGACAGTACAAGTCAAGGCCCGAGTAAGTGAGAGACTACAGGAACCAGACCAAGCTGTACACAGTGCCGCTGATGATCTTTAGGCGCAAGCGCCTTCGTAAAGATATCAGCTGTGTTGGCACCGGAGGCTAAGTGTACTACGCGAGCCTGGCGACGCTGCTGTAGCTCACGCAGGAGGAAGTACCGCAGCTGGATGTGCTTCGCTCTGCCCTCGAGTCGAGGCTCCTGACACAGGAGGATCATGGCCCTGTTGTCAGCGTACAGGACCGGGGCAGAGCTAGGCCGCTCACCTAAGTCAGTGAGCAAGAAGGTCAGCCAGCGGAGCTCCTGTGCCGCCATGGCACCGGCGTAGATCTCGGCCTCACAGCTGGACTGGGCAACAGACGAAGAGCGGGTAGCTCTCCACGAGACAGCACCTGAACCAAGGCTAAAGCAGTAGCCCTGGGAAGACCTGAGCGTCTCGGCGTCGTCTGCCCAAGAAGCGTCTGTGTGTCCAGTAAGGACCACTGGCCTGCGTCCGCCTAGCACTAACCCCATGCCCGATGTACTTGCAAGATAACGCAAAACCCTCTTAGCGGCAGACCAGTGCTGAGGTCGGTGTCTGCCTGTGGCCACGAAGCGAGCCAGGATGCTGAGAGGGTATGCGAGATCTGGGCGAGTGCAAGTCATAAGGTTACATGAGGCAACCCACTAAGCTCAGCGTAAGGACCACTGGGATCTACCGACTCCTCAGGAACTGGAGCGGAGAGTCTGTGGTCCAGAGGAAGAGGGGTGGGCTGTGCGGAGGAGAACTGAAGGCCGAACCTCTGAAGGACCTGGCGCACCAAGTGTGACTGAGTCAGGGTGATGGTGCGCGCGGCTCTGTCCCTGGAGATCTGCAAGCCAAGGTAACGGCGCAGCTCTCCAAGGTCAGTGCAGGTGTGTCTCTTCAGCAGCTCTGCTTCACGGAGGCCAGTGCGTCCCTGTCAGCAGTGGCAAAGACCAGGTCGTCTACGTAGACAAGGATGTAGAACGGAGTCGAGCCAGCACGAACGAAGAGCGAGGGGTCTGCAGAGGACGGAAAGAACTGCAGGTCAGCAAGGGTAGCAACGCAAAGTGTCGTGCCACTCACGAGGCGCCTGGCGCAGGCCGTAGACTGGCGCCGCAGAAGCCACTGGGTCCCAGGGGGGAAGGTGCCAGTAAAAGCCCTGAGGGCGACGCAGGTAGACCTGCTCGTGAAGGCTGCCCTGAAGAAAGGCAGTGGAGAAGTCGAGGGAGTGAAGCTCGTAGTCACGCTGAGCCGCTACGTGTAGCAGAACCCGAAGAGTAGTCATCTTCGGGGTAGGAGCGAAAGTCTGAAAGAAGTCCCACCCCCTCGCGCTGACTGAAGCCTCTAGCCACGTAGCGCGCCTTGAACACAGGCGGCTCTCCAGGAGGGCGCTTCACCTTGAAGAGCCAGCGGCCATCGACCACGTTCACCCCAGGTGGGGGAACTGCGTCGACGAAGGTGCCGGTGGATCTCCAAGATGCCATCTCCTGCTCCATGGCAGCTATCCACTGAGAGGCCCAGGGTCCCGAAACCGCCTCAGCGTAAGTACGAGGGGTCGGGATGTCGAAAGCGTCTGGGTCACCCTCAGGGACTAGCAGCATGGAACAGAGATGGGGAGCAGCCTCGGACAGGAAAGCAAGCTCAAACTGGCGGTCCTCTAGGACGTCACTGCCGAGGGCAGGAGCACCCCCGACAGACGGAGGACAGGCAGGGTCAGAGACCAGAGCGGTGGCGTAGTC